AACATGAATTAGCAATCAAATAAGTGGATTAGTCTGACAATATTTGGTCACTCAATAGGCACCGGTCATTGACAAAAACAGAGCCTTTTTCTGCTTTATGCAGACTTTACAATAATTAGGTAATTCTGGGATCTAAAAGACCCATAGATCCCATACACTACCAGCAACAAAATTGAGCTAGTTACCAGAATGAGCTAATTTCATTATTGGTGTAAATGGAGGCTGGGCTACAATTTATATGGACTATGGAGGCTGGGCTACAAATTAATCTATAATCTACATGGCTTCTTAAAGCCTAATTGTTGTTAATTAGAACAACAGTAGGAGACTACGAAAGTCAATGAGTACGAGTGTTGATTTATATTATAATAAAGTCATCCTGTAATTTGTGCACTGTTGCATGTAAGATCGAGCACTGCATTGTATACAATGGTTGTACTTCAATCGACATGTGTATAGTTATATATACTCTAGCCCCTAGTTAAAATTATAGTGGCTATCAAACGAAAAATATACGTGAGGTTATGAGCGATTTGCAACTCTCGTCTATTAAATTTTCCAGACCTGTATATACAATAAACAGTAAAACAATGATTACATCTTACATACCATACAATAGATCTTTTGTTGTTGTTTGTCTGCAGAACCTAAAACCACGATGTAGTGCGCCATTTGTTTTATAAGACTGCATTATTATTTTTGTATCTGCTAAGCAGATATATATATATATATATGCTATCGCAAACGTACCGTACTGTTACCGTACCGTATGTTAACACATAGCCATTCAGCGACGAGCTTATATATTTTAAGCCATTTTATGCCAATTTAAGCCGATCAGCGATTCGTTTACATCAATTGTTTACATCGTGCCCGCTAATCTAACCTGCGAACGGACATACTCAGTGTTTCCACTTTCAAGGAAATTTCCTTTTTCAAGGAAATTTTGACCTGAAAAAGACATTTCAAGGAAAAAAAGGAATCAAGGAAATCTAAGGAATTTTTGAAAATTCTAAGGAAATTTAAGGAATTTTTGAGTCAACTGAAATGTTTTGAAGATTCTTTCAGGAACCTTTCATTAATTTTAAATTATATTACTTTTCTTCGCTCATAACCAATATGTCCGCGTGCAAAGATAAAAAAACCTCTTTCGGAGCCTGTGACTGAGTCAGTAGAATCTAGAATTATTAATTACAGTGCGTCTACAGTAAGTGGGGCCACTTAGAGAACACTAAGCCATCGCATTGCAGAACAAAAAGAAAAATCTAATCAAACTAAAGCTAGTCCAATCAAAAGAAAGATTCAGGAAGCCATTAACTGCAGTGTTTACTTTTACAACTCTATTTTTACCGTTTTGACATTCGTTAATTTGTTCAAATGGTTTTTGGCCTAATACTGATTGGCTAATGCGCCGTTTCTTGATTTTTTCAATTTTTGTTCTGCAATGTGATTGGTTAGTGTTCTTTAAGTGGCCCTACTTGCTCTAGATACACTGTAAACTAATTATAAGTCGGCTGCACACAACCTGAATTTTAGGCGGTAGCGTGCTGCGTGCAGAAGAATTTATATGAATTTATTTTGGCATGTGAATTTGTTGACAATTGAGAACAATATTAAAACTCTAGTATTTTACATTTTAAAGCTTTGAAAATTGTTGTGTAAGGGCTTTGTTTTTAAGAGTTGTACGAAATAAACGTACCATTCTGTTTCTGTCTTACTTTATATAAGTATTGATGAAATTCTAGTTGCCCAAATATACTTCGCTTAATCAAGGAAATTTCAAGGAAATTACATCCCATTTCAAGGAAATTCAAGGAAATTTTAAAACAAATTCAAGGAAATTTGAATGATGCGTCGTGGAAACACTGGGCATACTTTAGCCTCGTCAGGCCTCGTGTATAAATCGTGTTTACTTTATATTCTTTCAAAAATATTTTGATATTTTTACCAATTTATCCCGAATTGGCTGTATTTTTCTCCCCATTCTACTTGCGATATTATTTCGAAGTTATTTATCAACATGGAATCTTATCCTCATCTGGTAAGTATAGTCAAATACCACATTATATATTTAAATACCAATTTGTGCAAAAATATATGTCCCACATACTTTATAATACATGAGTTCGCCAGTTCGGCAAATATTTACTATACTATGTATAGTTAATATTGCCGTATCTTCGGCGTAGAGTTTACATGGAATGCACTCTGGAATTTTTTTATTAATATATTACACTGTATAAAATATTGGATATTTTCGAGGATATTTTAAGCCATTTGTCAACATAGTTCACAAAAAGATTTATACAGTATTTAAAACAATCCTTCTGTGACTTCTGTAATATTTTAAACAGTGAAAACATTCTCAGGTAATATTGAATTAAATCCTGGTCCTGTATTTCTGTATATTGACTCCGTAACTCTGTTCAAAACAACAGTCCTACTATAAAGCTGTCATCAAATGTAGTGTTAAAATACTTACTTCAGTTAAGATACTTATACATTTTGGTTTTACACATTAGAGTTAATTAAACAAAATTTTTACCAACATTTTCAAATAAAAGAATCCTCACCCTCCCGAGCCTCATTACATTGTCATTTTGCTCTCTAACATAAATATTTTTCTTCAGAGATTAATACAAGAATGAAGAATAAATGTAG